AAAGCCACCTTCATATTTACATAAATTAGTGACATATTTTATGGTTCGGAGGAGTGTGACACTGTGATATGGTACAGTAAGACCCTCCGGTCTTAACTACAGGGGTCTTAAGTCATGTAATTCGTGTGGCTTGTAATTTAATTATTTTATCATTAAATTATTCTCATTTCTTTTTATGGCTACAGGTTTACCAATAACATCAGGTCGAGAAAGTATCGATCCAATGATGACAAGTATGTCACTCAGTATATTAGATGACAAAGATATGAACACCAGTTTCTTCTCGCAAACAACCTTCCCTGATAATGAAAGTCTAATAGATTCCTTACCACCGAGTTTGGTTAGCTCAGTTAACTCCTCGTACGTTATAAATACGAAGCCAAAAACGGAAGCTACAGATTCGAATATATTCAGTTCAGCAACATTCACTCATCTAGAACAATCTGAAAGGCTTCTATCCGCCCGACCTAGATGTCAACTGTACAATAGTTACACTAAACGTGAATCAGGCATTAGAAACACGGAGAGTTACACAAAATCACGAGAAGAAGCATGCCAAATAGATCAAGTTAATAAAATACTCAATGAAAATTCAGATAATAAAGATCCACCGAAAATAACAAAAGCTAATGATATGAGTGAAACAATAACTTTACATTTCGCAAATAACAAATATAAAAATAAAGACGCAGAGAAAGAAAATCTGAACGAAACATTCGAAACGGATGATGCATTTTACAGAGATAATGGTTTACAGAAAGTATCAGAATTAGTTAAAAATAGTATGAACGTTACATGTGACAAACAAGAGTTGAATGAAATCAAACAAGCACGTCAGAAACTATCTCTTGCTAGAAGAGGATTGCCGATTGAACCTGATAAGCCTTTACCAAATCAAGTAGATACTACAGCTGTGAAAATACAATTACCTAACCAAACGATAACAGTGCCCCGACAGAGCGTTGAAAGTGTCTCTGAATTAATGAAAAGAAGATCACAGAATTTGAACAATCATTTAACAAGCGAGGAACCACCGAGAGAGACCCCGAAGAGGAATGCAACGTTTAGAAAAGTGTCACCACGACAAAGCGCTACTGTAGTTTACGTGAAATCAGATGAAAACAAAATAATCGATATAAATTCTGCTACAATGAATCTTATTGGAGCCGGACAAAATACGTTGCAACAAGAAGTAAGTATAAAAATACCTAAAAATCAGATATTTTCATAGTAAAAAGGAAGCGACTAATTGGATTGGCCTAAAGCGAAATGGCCGTTGCCCATAGACATTTGCATTTACAAATGCGTTGCCTATCTTTAATAGACAGGTGTACTTAGAAAGACGTCATCTCCCCTTCCCATCCCTTCCTAATAAGAAAAGGATGGGAAGAGGAAAAGCTCCAAAATTAGACTGCCGTGACACTTAAATTTCAGTACAAATCGATTATAGGTATAAGAAGATTCACACTTTATATCGGCTCGATAGTTCATACCTCGACTAATTTATTACTGACATGTTCCAGGAGTGGGGGTCTCAGGAAACAGCAATGGTGGGGTCCAGTGAGAGCACTGACACGGGCACCTTTAGCTCCTCCAGCCCACCGGAGAGTGTTCCTGACACCGCGAGACACCCGCATTACAGTAAGTATGCTTACTCAGAGTCACTTATGCATGTTCGCGTAGATGTATGAATGTAGAAAATGTGAATTGTGTATCTGCCTACTTCTATGGGTTACGTGCTTTGATTTGATAAGGATCCTCCTTCTTTACTAATTAAAAATTCTGAGTATAACAGTATGAAACTCAAGGTCTCTCTCTAACTGGAAAGAGATCATGAAGTAAAGTAAGGGAAGAAATTTAACTTTTTTACTGCGACACAGTAAAAGAAAAATATGGCTTTCGCAATATCACGTACTAGCTGCCTCCTATGACTTCGTCAGCGGGGAATAAAAAAAACTTAATTAGTAGCCTATGTGTTCTTCAAGATTATGTTCTACATCAATGCCAAATCTCAGTGAAATCTATGCAGTCGTTCTGTAGTTACCTTCTAATAAAGCATCCATCCATCTAATATTTCGCTTTTATCATATTACTAGCTCGCGACTTTGTCCGCGCGTAATGAAAAAAGAAACTTATTTAGTGTTTTTCCTATGTGTTCTTCCAGATTATGTTCTACATCCATCCATGCAAACATTCGCATTTATAATATTAATAAGATTTAATATATTTTCTTATGAATTCCAGCTTGCGAAGTGGCATCCACACCATTGGTTTCAAAGAAAGCATCTAAAAATGAATTATTACAAACAACAATATCGCCAATATACGCGGTGCAAGACAAATCCTATGTACTAGGTAAAGCACATAGCGCGGAAATGGAACAGACGTACGATGTTAACACAACAGTCATACTGAACAATGGAAACGCGGCGAACAACACGCCCAAGAGAGATTTAGGAAATGTTAGTACGGAAAAGATTACACCTCCCGGAACTGTGGTTAAACTATCACCTAGTAGGATTTCACCTACAAGTACAGGTGAGTTTACATACAGGGTGTTCGGAAAGTATACAATTAAAAAAAAAATCTTTAGTATATTTGTTATCTAGGTGTGCACGCGACTTCGTCCGCATGAAATACTGTCTTTGGGTAGCATTTCAAATGTTTCATTCATCCCCTATTGTTATTTTGCACCCTTGAGGGTAACATTTTTATAAACATCGCATGTTTATTTATATCGAATAAACAGCCTTAAAAATAAGTTTCAAGCTTCTATCTGTAAACATGACGGTAATTCTATACAAATTTCCAACTCCCCCTTTTCAACCCCTCTTTCGCATTAAAAAGTAGCCTATGTCTGTCCCAGGCTCTAAACTATCTTTGTACCAATTTTAAATGGGTTCAGTGGTTTTTGCATGAAAGAAGAACAGACAGACAAACAGAGTTACTTTCGCATTTATAATATTAGTATTTTCTTTAAGTATTTGTACTTTATTTATTTTTTTATTTTTCCAGGACCTTATAGTTCAATGGCACCACCCACATGTGTACCGAAAAGAGCAAACCTACCGACATCTAAATTAAGACAATACAGTTCACACAGAGAACTTAACAGAATACCAGGTAAATGTTACTCTCTGTCCGTTTTTTATATTTATCGCGTCATTTTAAGTAGAATTGTGACTTGTTTTTAAGTATGTACTACGGATTTATGATCTTAATCTTTATTCGGGGGACATCTTCAAAAGATACCCTGCCTTCTGGATGAAACAAAGGGTTATTTGAGACTTGACACATTGGATGAAAGTTTGGATGGATGGATGTTAGAATTCATCCAGATCTGATTGGATCTTGTTGAAATTTGGCATAGATGTAGAACATAGCCTGGAAGAATATATATGCTACCAAATAAGTTTTTAATTCCGCGTTGTCAAAGTTGCGGGCGCCAGCTAGTCTATTATAGTTATTGATGATTTAATTTGTTGATGATAAAATGGACAATGCATCAGTGGAAATGATTGCGCTAGTGGAAAGGGGATTTAATGATTATATTTAATTTCAGGAAGCAATCCGAGCGGTCTGGTGACGCCGCGCACGTCGATAGGGCGAGCGATGGTGCGGCGCGGCGTGTACGCCTCCAACCCCGCGCTCAGCCCCACCTCCCCGCACCCCGCCCCGCACCTCACCCCGCACCCCTCACACCCTCACACCACCACCACCACCACCACCACCGCCACAGCACCACCCATCAGAAGGGAGTCCTACACAGTAGCGGTTGATCAGGTTTATATATATGTAGTTATATTTTGCCAATATCCTTAATTGATATTCGATCTCGACCTCATTTGTACTTGTTCGTGATATTTTTAATTAAAACTACAATTGATGTGTGTACTTATTTTTGAAAATTGTGCGAAAAAAAAATACACAAATAAAAAAAATAAGAATTTTAATAATAATAGAAAAATTCGGCTAAAATACGTTTGCAACGGCTCGTGATCTCTGATGTCATATATAACTAAAATATAAACCCTTGTTGCACTGAGACTTGCGCATGACTTGCCGCGAGGAGCGCACTCTATATAACCGTCTCTTTCGCGCCGGTGCCCGCGCACATCTATCTCGCTCACTCACAGCCAGTGGAAAAACGATTACGACCCAAGCAACGCGATCGCGCACTGATTGAATTCACATTCACGTGATGGCTACTAAATGATGTAGTTTTAATTTATTGTATTTCATTTAAAACAAATAATTTTCTTTGCAAAATGTTATTATAGGTTTTTATTCCATTAAATGGATACAAAATAACTTTGTCTCAATTTATAACATGAGTACATACTCCATTGTTTCGTGGGAAATTAATATTTGTACTACGTTAAAAAGTACTTACAATCATCAGATCGATTGTAAGGATCGAATATCGATTTGAGATATCGAATATCGATTCGAGATATCGAATATCGATTCGTGATATCGATGTTTCGGTTCAGAGGTTCATATCAGTCGGGAGCAGTTTTAAAGCTGCTGTAGTAATTGTTTCGCTTTTAACTTCATTGTATAAAAATTAGTATCACTTTAGTTAGAAAAGCTTTATGCTAATTATAAATTGTGTATATTCTTAAATCGTAGTATTGTTTTATGAAGTAAACATATTTTAATACTAACGAAACAACATAGTCTAGTAATTATCATCATCAGCTCACTATACGTCCCCACCGAGGGGCTCGGAGCCTACCCTAAGTTAGGGGTGATAGTCTAGTAATTAAAATGTTCGAATTAAAAAAAAACTTTTCAAACTTTTTTTTTAAAAACTTGTGTACATAATTTAATTCACATCACATACACAAATGTAGAAATTGAAATACGTATATAAACATTTTTAATATGTTAACTAATACTTCTAACTAATTATAAAGCACAAAATTAACACATTCAGTGCCACTGACTCGCCAGGCGAGTTTAATTTCATACAAATAATCATATTAGTATATAACGTGTTAAAGTAAAAAAACAATCGTATAATTTTATTTCATGTATATTTAAGAATCCACTGGATGAGAAAGACAAACAGACACAAAAGCCATCAGTGCCTGTATTGGTGCGTCAGGGAACAGAGACACTACGCCGGGAACGACCACAGAGTCAACTGGTCGCACCAAAAGATGTAAGTATTATTACTCTGGTGTTGGTTTTAACACTTTCAATGCCACTGACTCGAATGTCGAGTTTAATAAAAAAACCAATTGGAATTTAATGTGTTAAGAGCATTTTATAAGACTTGGTTCATGGGCGTAAGGTGTACAATGGAACTTGGACAAGCGATAGTCAAAGAGTCAAACATTTTTCTCGCTTGTAAAGTTTACTAACAGTTTCTCGTTTATGAAGGATAATAAAGCTCGCTTATTCAGGTTTCTTGCTTATCCAAGTTCGACTGTATCTAAAATTTCTAAAATTTAAATTTAATTTTTTTTCTAAAATCTAATTTTTTTTTTCCTTGAACTTACTATTTTCTTCTGTTTTCTGCTCTTTTTGATACAATAGGTGTATTTAATTGTATTTTAAAATAATATTATTATTATTATTTTCACAATATTTTCCAAATAAAAAAAACTATACGAGTATATTTGGAATAATTTTTGTAATTAATTTCTTTAAGCCTTTAATTCAAAAGGTTTTTTTTTGTTTTATTTGCATGGATTTGCACTTTAAATTTCTATACATTTTAAATTATTGTCATGTGTATTTAAGGTGTTGGGTTTGTATTAATATTCATTTTCAAATTCAATTTTATTATGTGTTTTATGTTTGTTAATAATGTATTAATTGTGGGTTTCCACTGCTGTAATACTTATACAAAAAATTATATTTCATCTTTGAAAATAACATGATTATATTATATTGTGTTGGTAGTGTAAACCCACGGTATAATATTAAAAATGATTGTTCTAATGTCGTTATTTTTAATAGCATCTTTATGTTTAGTGGATTAAAGACAATTTTAACTTTATTGCATGAAAGATAAATTTAGACCCTAGTTCTTTAAAAGTTTTTGCATTATTAATAAGATATATAAAAAAAATCTTAAATAGATTTTTTTAGTAGAAGCACCAGAATTTCTATTTGTATAGTCTTGAGTTAACACGTTCAATGCCACTGTTGCGAGTTCGATTCAATACTTGTTTGTCAGTGGCATTCCACGTGTTAATAGTTAAAGTTGTCTTGTCCCTTTGTGTTGTGATTAACAAAACGTCGCTTGCTTGTCTTGTGTCGTTTAGCATCGTGCCTCTATGATGTCGTCCGGAGTACCGCATCCATTGAGGAGTTATTATAATATATCTGTAAGTTATTGTTTTATGTTATATTTGTTAGGAAGACAATCCGACACTGCCGGTGTATCGCAACACTAGCCTTATTAAAATATCAACGTTTATCTCCTCACTAACCAATCTGACGCTTGATTTGGTAACGAAACTCCATTCTCTCTAAATGATTCTTACTAATAATGTCTAAAATATTATGTACGTGTTTTAACCTTTTGACCGCCGGTAATTGATAATATTGCCGGTCACGTGTTTGTAAAAAGTATGATTTACTTTTAAATACGTATCACAAAAACTGCTTCCGTATGTTAAGTGTTAATGCATGTCAATTCTAAGTTGCATGATAGAGCAGTTTTATACAAAGACATAGCTGTCTCGGTTTTTTTCTTAAAGAGTGAAAGGGATGGTAATATATTTTATACAGTACAATTATTTTGGTGTGTTTAAATGAATCTTGTATATATTTCAGCAAGCCCCAACTTCGCGTCCTCACGTGACATCTAGTGCTACTATAACCCGCGTGTCCCGCCCCACTTCAGTACCAACGCAGCGGCCTGTTGCTGGTTTGTATATCTATATCTTGTTTCTTACTAATATTCTAAACTAGCTGTCGCCCGCGACTACGTCCGTGCCAAGTTAAAAATGTGCATCTTCCGGGATGGAAATGCTTGATGGATGGATGGTTGTCCATAGCGACCGTTTTAAAGTTTGTCATTAGACTGATGAATTCCTGCATTTTGAATCGATTTTGAAGAATTATGAGTCGAATTGTATCCTTTCCTTGAGTGTTATAGGAGTATCAGGTGTTTTGACAATTAAAAAAATATAATAATTTCATACATTTCAGCTGTAGATAGTCGTCCATTCACAGCGGTTGATTCGCGAGTGTCGGCGCTGCCACGACCTTCACGTCTGCCCGCGCCGCGCCGCACCATCAGGTAGACTTTACATTATCCCAGGTAACGCACCTTTCTCTGTCTAGTTCGCACGCTACATACAGGCCCGGTCATATGGTAACTAACATTTTATTATTATGTTTTAAACTTTAGGGCGCGTTTTTCACTACTTTTTTATAGCAGTCCCAGCCGCGCCAGTTAAAATATATGTATTAATCTAGTGGAAAAGGGTGCTTATAATACATGTCAACATTAGAGACAGTATAGAGGTTTTCAAACATCTTGTCGGCTCAGAACATCGTACGAGTCGCCGCTCAGAATACATTATTTTTGTGTAGCGGGACGGGGAGGACACTGCACACCACAAATGACCTTGAGCCGCCAAGATATTTGAAAAGACATATAACAGTAGCTTGCATGTTTGGGATGATTTATAGAATACGTAATTGAAGAGTCTATTGATTTTAATCTCGGAATAAATTTTCTTTTTAATTAATAAGGTGATTCTTATTTGTTAACAATATTTCGACAAAGGTTTGTAATGATTCTAATTTTTACGAATATTTAATTGGTTATGGTAAATAATAAGGGGATTTCTGGATTAAGTAACTGTTTGTAAATAACGCCTTAGGTAATATTGGTTTTTATTATATACCACGAAGAAATATAATATTGGTACTAATACTGAACATTATTATTTTTAACTGCATTGTTATAACAATTTTGGGTAAAATTTTCAAGGGGCTAAGGAGTTTGATTTTTTTTCTCGTTACACGTAATTAATTTTTCTTTAATTAACTGTATTGAACTGTAAAATAACTGTATTGAAATAAAAAAAATAGGAAACAAACAAAACTTCTAGGATAATAATTTGAAAATATTTGAAAGAAATTTGCGGAAATTAAAACTGCTTCACAAGTACAAGATAAAAGAATGAAGATAAGGAATTTGTTACGCTGTTGTGTTCATTAATTTAGTATATTTTTTTTTTAAATTCCAGGCCACCATCAGTATACTCAGTGGCGCCTACGGCCGATATCGACCACTACTGACCACTAACCCTCGTGCCAACAGGACCACTGTGGTCCAAACTAACTTTATACCTACCTAAACTAAATCTAGCGTTATTATAACAGACTGAACGAAACTCGGTGTCTTTTTTCAAATTTTATACAACATTTGATAGTTTTTTTTTAATTTGGTTTTCCTGAAAAGTGATTGGCATTAGTGATGTTGCCAGTATTGTAGTTTATCTACCTTTTGTTATAAAATTTAAAAATTGTAATTGACTAAATCCTTATATTATTTCAATAATGACAATAATATATGAAAAAAACACATTTTTAGATTTTTTATTTTTACTTTTCACGTTTTGTAATGCATGAGAAAAATCTCTTATTCCATAATCAAATAAAAATTCCTACTATTTTTTTTAGAAATATGATTCGAAAGTCAAAATTATTTTTAAAATATCTATTTTAGAAAAAATCTACGATAAATAATGAAATTCTATTAATACTATTTAAACCTCAAAAATAATGCCGCAGTCCTTTTTCCGAAACACGTGTGAAGTTAGCTTTTAAAATAATGTACGCATTTCATACTAAGAGAATGAGACAGATATATACAACATTAACAGATTGGAAAGAGAAGCAAGATGTATGTAGTTTCTCGCTTTAGTGTGAACTACTGCGCTGGTATTTATTGCTAACTTCAGACTATAAAATTAATATGACGATTGCTATTTTCCTTTAAAGTATTTTTATGTGTTTTGATAAATCTATAATTTTATAGACATTCAAAATTTTTTTAAAATGAAAATTTTGTTCATGTCTCTTTCAAGAGGTTTGAAATATACTTTTCGATATGAAAAGTCAATAATTTCGACTTCAATTCTCTTTATATTCGCTCTCTACCTATATATGGTATCAGCAATCAAAAACCCAGTTCTAGCTTGAATCTAGGTACAAAGATATACAAAATATTCTTAACGTGCATTTCCACTGCTGTAAAACACATACGAGAACTCTCAGTTATTTCAAGTAATGAGACGATAGAAAAGACATTTACGATATGTTTTTATTCATGTGTTTTGACAGTGGATTTCCACGGTTACATTATACAAAGTCTAGTGTAAAATTGCTTTGAGGTTATTAATTTATTTTGGATTAAGACATTTTTTGCATTTTGAATGGAGATTTGTAATAATTATAGTTATTTCTAATTTTATTGTATTATTTAGATATTGTATATCAAAAACACTAATATTGTAAAATACGCACAATTCATATTATCACATATAAAAATAATAAAAATATTTAAAGAGATATTTGTACAAAAATCTCTCCGTGACATATTGACACCTTGAGTGTACAAATTGTATGTATATGTATACTTTAACTGTTGTATATTATGTAAAGTTTGATATTACATTATATATTTAATAAATAAAATGTTTGTCTAAGATTACGGTACTGTCGCATACAATAGCTTAAAGCTTTCTGAATTTTTTTTATAAAAATTAAATGGCTGAATGACATAAAGATCATTCAATTAAAAAAAAAAACCTCATAATTAAAATTCATTCTCGAAATATATATGTTAGCGGAATTATACTAATCTGACTATTGTCTATATACAAAATGAATTGATGACAAAATGTTTATATAAGACATTATTTTGGCAATATTTATACTGTTTACATAATATTAATAAATAAAAAAAAAATACAACATGTTAACCTTTTCATTCGTAAAACATATCATTTTGCTCTTGCGTAAGAATTTCATTCCGTCAAATTTGAGTGATACACCGTGGACCCAATATTCTAAATTGCATAAAGTTATATGTTTTTGAAGCGACTGATTTTTATACAAATTATTGTATAAAAAATATTAATTTAGCTAAAAATTTGTGTCGCTTTATACAACTCGTCGTGTTCTACGTTTGATTGGTCACGTCGTGCCTTATTTAGATAATTTAAGGAGTTTTGTTTTTAATTTCTAATAAAATTATTAAACATTAACATCAATGGCGTTTTAATTTTAATCTAACCTTAATTACTTTAATCAAGCTGTGATATTACTATGTATGAAATTTAAGGACTTGCATTTAACAATAACAATAGCGAGAAAAAATTTATACAACCATCCGAAGATAGGCACCCAAAGAAAATATTTGAGAAAAACACAATATAGTTGCTATTAGGAAATGGCGCACAACTTGTTTTTGTACAACCAACTCACCATAGGTATCAAATATTAGCATTTTCCTAAAAAAGCAATACAATAAAATCTAATTCGAAACATTAATTAATAATTTACAACTGTATTTGTAAAAGAATTAACTAAAATCCCTTTAGTGTATTTAACTAACTTATTGTTACTTTTAATATTACTTGAATTAAATGTCGTCAAAATAACTAAGAATGAGCTTGTTACATTTGTGAAACTCTCCGCATCACTAATTTTGAAGCATTCCCTTTGCAAATTAAGCAAACAAAAATGGACGATAAGTATTCCTCAAGAAACACATTTGAAGAAAACAAACATTTATAAATAGACTTTAAATAAACGGAAAAGAATTAAAATAACAGAAACGCAATGTTGCCATAGCAATATTGCTTATTTGAAGTAGGCCATTGTTATCTGTTACCTTCATTTGTGCATGTGTGCGTGAATGTTGAAAAGAAATCGCACGTTATACTATACGCGAGTGTGCAACGTCGCGAGTGCTGTCTACGAGTAATTTTTGCTTTGTACATTTTTATTTTTATAAATAGCAGATTTAGACGATGTGATTAGTAATGTAATAACGTAAAGTGATAAGAATTGTGATATATCGACGCAATGGCTCGTAAAATATACCGTGTTTTCGTCTACTTTGTGATCCCGTGCAATAGCTCGTCACTTTGGTTGTTTGTCAATGACGTCTGCGTTTAGCGCAGCGAATAGTGGAATTATATTTTGATTGTGACAAGTAGTGCAAACCTAAGTAATTTATATTGTGATTGTTGATGCTTGTTTTTAAAATGGATGAGTGTTTTCTTCATTGGAACATTCCTAACACAACCGGGGCCATCAGAGGTGGCTCATGAAGAAAGGGTTAGTTCACCTGTTTTTGTTTACCTTACTTATCAACTGCATTGATTATGAATACATAACTTTTATGACAACATAGTAACATAAGCAAAATTATGGTAATTATTTACGTATATAGAGCGCAGTATAGGTTAGGACCCTTAGTTTGTTTGTTGTGGATAGACATGCCACTATATTTACGTTAACTGGGCGAACATTTTATAAGTCTAAGTTGTATTTATTTGAAAGTGGACATAAAGTTTTTTTTAGTTTAAAGTTAAAGAGTATTATTTCTCTTTTGTTACTTTCTCTTATCCATGGAGTGAAGGGAGCGAGGGCGATAGCTAGATCGTGTTAGCAACGCACGAGAGCGAGACGATGCTCTACAAGACTAGATGTACGAGTTTGTGTCCACACATATGACTGTTACCTGACTTTTCTATTGAATAAGTAGTGAAGCTATAATTGCCTTAACAAGTAATATGTCAATAATCTAGTTTCATCAAAAGATTACTTAACTATATTATAATAGTTTGGAAGTTTCAAATTAATTTTGAATTAATGAAATTAAAAATAACTTATTATTAAATATGATAGCAGCTTAATAATATTAATTATTTCATTGGATGTTTAATACTACAAGTGTTTGAATAACATAATTTTCCTATCTTCAAAAAGATAAAATTAAGTAAGTTTATAAATAGAAATAAATTATGCATTCTTTTTTTTAGTTATTTACTTGACAATATTACCATAGAGACAAATTTCATTAATACTTCTAGGTTAAGACATCCCTACAAATCACTCAGCATTTTTATTTAAAACTTTTTTGTGTCCAAAGTCATTCTTCCCTCTTCATCACATGTCCTTTTCATTATCTCCCTATGCTTATTCGTAGAGACACAACAGATTTTCATCCTACAAATAAATTATTCATCATTTCAGTTGTCACTTCCGTCTTGTTATGCCACCTTATCACCTCATCTCCTCCTTAATTTATATACAACACAGGATGAGTGTTGGACCATTAATTTAAAATCATGTTTTACAGATGTTTGGTTTATGTTAAAACACCATATATCTAATTGGTCAAACATATTTATTAATTCACCCCAATGTTTATGTAATATAATAAAAAAATTTAAACATCCTTATTTAGTCCACTTTCCTACATAATACATCTCGTAAAAATTAAGGATCCCAATCAAAACTAAATACTTTATAACTATAAAGTCATGGGCAAATCTTATTATTATTTAAACACTCTCATAATATTTTTTTACATGTACAATGGTTGTAAAAACTTAAAATTATAAATACCATTGAAAATGAAACCAATAAAAAAATTAAATTCCCCTTAAATTAGTCATTTTGACTTAAATAAATAATAATTGAGGTAGCAGTATTTTAACCACCCATTTAGAACCCAATTAGATTAGGGAAATTAAAATAATTTATCTTTTAATAAAAACTATGCAAATTCTATGTTCTAAAATATGCATAATCAATAATTTTTTATTTAAGCATCGTAACAAGACCTCCCATGCTTTATGCCTTTAAATCTAATAAGCAGTAAATGATTCATTCACTTTAAACTGCCTGGAGGAAACAAAAATGAAAATGGCATTGTATGCCCAAATTTGTTTCTTAAGGGTATTATTTTCAAGTGATTTGCCTTGACCATCCAGCTATTGGTATGTCAAGGGCTTGCTCCTACCAAAAGAGGCGTTCTGATTCATTCATTAATTTGTACAAAAGTTTCTCAAAACAAGAGTTCTCTTACATTTCAATTTGAAATTGTCAATGAATTCTTTATCTATACTATATCAACCCATTTGAAGAAAAAAAGTTACATCTTTTAAAAAATCAATAATCTTAGTACTATTATAAAGTTGATTTATGGGATGTTTATTAGAAGATATCTCCAGAATATATAGATTACACAGAAATTTGATAGACGTCGAACATAATCTGAGATAGAATAAGAATTAACCCACACAGACACAGTCAAGGGCGATAGCTAGTTTTTTAATACAATACAAAGAGCATATTTCCCTTTCACATCCCCTGCCCCACCAAATCCAGTTCCCCTTCCTATTCTTTCCTTGTTAGATAGGGATTGAGAAATATGCCCCTTGTGTCACTCCTGTTAAAGAGATTACTACTTTTCAAACAAAGTCTTCTTCTTTATAATATTAATAGACTGTTACTAAATTGTAATAACTAATTTCTTATATTTTTTATTTTATCAATACCTAAATTTTATTATTTTATACATTGAAGGACAGTTGGCACTGAACCAATGCCCAAGAATATCTTAGTTAGTATCTTGTGTGTATATTTAGTCTTTGACAATGTGTGCGGTTATTTTAACATGTTAACTATAATGCTGTTACTAGGCAAATAATTTAATAATACTAAAATACTTATATCGCCCTCAACTCCATCGGCAAGCATTAAAAAAACGTAATTGGTAGCCTATGTGTTCTTCCAGACAATGTTCTTTATGTATGCCAAATTTCATTGAGATCCAGTCAGCCGTTCTGGAGAAACTTTCAAACAAATATCCATCCATCTAAATATTCACATTTATAATATTAGTAAGATTTTACAAATGGCAAAGTCAAATAAGACAAAGATTTTAACAAGAAAAAAATGTAAGTTTGTCATTAGTAACATATTTTTTTTATAATCAAAATTATTTAAAATGACAAAAGTATTAAAATGTATATTTTTTTCTTATGACTTTAGTATGTGCATTATTTATACCTGACTTATAAAGGCACTTCATTTAAATTTTTCATTATATCTAATATTGAACTAAAAAGAAAGATCAAATTTGAATCACATTAAAAATAATATTTTACACTTTTGTTTCTTTGTATAAAACATACCTCCGTCATTATCTTTGACAAAACAGAGGTAACAATATGTTTTAAATTAGGATTTTGGTCTCAAAAACCCACCATCACCATACTATTATGATATTCAAATTTTTTTTATCATCATCACTATAGGTCCCCACCGAGGGGTTCGGAACCTACCCTAAGTTAAGGGTGATAAGGCCATAGTCAAACACGCTGGCCAAGTGCAGGTTGACAATTAATTAATGCTACAGGCTAACACAATAGAACTCAAATGCAGTTCACCGGAGAAATGTACTAATGTATATACAAAAAGATTAGATACTTGTTGTTCTTTTGGTTATTGTTCATTGGATGATCACTTTACATCATACATAGATAATAAGCATGGAAATAAAAGTGCATGTACAAACATTATTTATATTGTAAAGGGGTGAACTGTTTGCATAATTAATTGAACAGTGACATTGTACATACTGTGGTATTTTTTTTAACCAATTTTAAAGTAGAAGGTCCTCAGTTCGGCTTTGATATTTATTCATTAAAGGTTGACTTGATTTGAGGTTAAAATTCATGAATTTTAAAATAATATATTTGCATAACATTAATATATTTTTTTGTGGTAAATTTAACATATGACAGCATTTTAAAGTTAAGTGTAGTATGATAATGTATAGTTTATTTTTATTTGTATTAAAAATCAGATTTATTTAAGAAAATTATACTCTAATTGTGGGTTTCTAAGACCAAAACGAATCTCTGTTTTGCCAAGATAATGACAGGGATGATGGTATGTCTTATATAGAGATGTTATTCTCAAAAACCAACAGTAAGTCTAAGAAAAAGTAACGAATATTTGTAAGAACTATTAGTCTGTTGATTCTAACATCTCAGTTTTTGGGTGATATTGGTTTTTCCAATAATAAAATAGCTCTAACACTCTCAGCTATGTTTTTCTAATTACAAATTTAAATTTAAATGTATATTAACATTTTTTAACTTCCACATTGGTCTTGATTTTCAATAAAATTGTACCACAATGTTTTTATATAGCCCATAAATAGTTTAATGTAAATATCTTG